ACACCTGGATATGGGGAGAAACCAAGATTTTTAGAGTGGTTTTTTGATGCCAATAAGTTTATACTCAGCATTTCATATAATCCAGAGGAAACTGTGTGTGAGTAGAAGTAGACAAAGCCTGGGGAGCACCAACTTCTCCATCCACTCACTTCTCACAGTCTGTGCAGTATGATTATTAAGAATAAGGCTGGGAGTTGAGGAACCTGATGAACATTCAGTGAACTCTGGGCCAGTTACCTGGGATATGGAGATAAACTTGGAAGGATTTTGCTCTTGTAGGAAGGCAATCTGAGGGGAAGAAACAGACTTACATCAACTCACCACAGGGTATTATATACGATATGACAGAATGATGCCTTGAACACGTAAATGTTTCAGTTCCCGCACTACTTTGCCTCTGCTCAAAATTCCCTACCAGATCCTCTTTTCACTCTGAATAAAAGACAAGATTCTCAAAATGACCAATTGGGTCTCCCATCTCTTTGCAAACTCCTGCACCCAGCTCCAGCCACCTCAGCCACTTTCCTATTCTGCCAGCATGCCAGGCCACCCCACCAATGAGCCATCATGTTTGCTGGCCCCTGACAGCCATTCAGCTGCCTCTCTCTTCTCTACGGCTTTGTTCAAATGTCACCTTCTCCAGGAGGCCACAGACCTACACCCCATCCTACACTTAGGATCCCATTCATCTTTTTCTGCACTCATTTCCACAAACTATGCAATTTACATATCCATTGTGTTGGTCTTCTGAGTCCCCACTGTGGTTGATAGAATGTAAGTCCCTTGAGGACAGGGACCACATCTGTTTTTGTCACTATTTCATCCCAAGCATATACAACAGCTCATGGCATCCCACAGATGCACGGTAACATCCTGAATGCATTAAAGAAGAACCCAGAAAGATACAAATTTAACTGGAAGAGCAGCTCTATCCTAATTGGGCAACTCACCAAAGCCACACAAAGGCAATGTGACCTGGAGGAGAAGGGAGGGACAGAGGGGTAATAATTTTCACAGCCTGTTTAGAGGCTTCAGTGGGAGCTTGAAGGGTAGCTGAGTAGAGTGCTGGGAATAGGGAAAAATACTGCAAATTGGCTCATGATACTTCCCAAAAGGTCTGGCATTTGTTGGGAAGGATCTTACACCTTCCTCCAGCCCAGCCTCATGAACTTATCCTACAGTCTGAGGAAAATAGTTTTCAAGAATTTTATATTTTATGGCAATTTTTGTGACCCTTAGTTTTACTCTCAGACCCATATGATAGGTAATGTGGGTTATGCATGGATCACCAGGCACTGGTGTACAGCCAGTAGTTAATCCCTCAACAAACATTTATTATGTTGAGTAAACTAGAGGTTTTTTAACTTGAAATTAGAATCTTTAGACAAAAAAATGATCTATTTTTGTATTGATTGATTATTGACCTTATTAACTTGGACTGTCAATTGTTAGCCATAATTTGAATATTACTAGCCCTTTGACACTTTATGGCTACATGAGATTCTAAAAATTAATTTGGCCTTGATGGAATGAGCTTTAACAGACATTCAGAATATGGAAAAGAATATGTCACAGAGTCCTGCAAAGCCACTGGAATACAGGGGTTCCCAAGATAATCTGCACAAAGGAGACATTATTGGAATGGGATATGGCCTCCCTGCTTCCTGGGTATAACACTAAATGCAAAGTAAAAATACTTGTTTACTTGTTCAACATCTCTCCGACATTGTTTTGAAGTCACAGGTCCCATGCAGTGTTCAATACCACATGCCTTTCATACTGAAGGACACAGAGCTAAAAGCAAGTTATGGTACCAATATCCACCACTTAGCTAAAATAAACAGGATATTCACTAAAAGCCTTAATCCTTTAATCAATGGATTAGAACAACCCCCTGGTTTGAATATTCAGACTTCTTCACCCATCCACCTGCCAGGTAAATGAGAACAAAGTAACCTTTGCTTCAAACAAGTTTGCACCTTGAACATACACATTTATAGATGGTTTCTACAATTATAACTCTGATGACTTCAAATACATAGCGTTGCTCTCTTTCCAACCTACTTACATTTTCTGATTAAATTTTAAAGTGGACTTTTCTGTGAAGCCTGATCCTGTCATTTTCAGCTTCTGCTATTTCACTCCAATGACTATTAGGGATGACAGAATGAGCTCCAAGGAGTTGAACTTGAACAACATGGAAGTAGATAAATCACCACATTGCTTGTCAACACTTACAGATCTCTTAACAGGTTCAGCTGTCAATGCACTTAATTGAAATAGTCAGTATATACAAGGAAACTTATGAAACACTCTCTCTCAGAAGGATTAGACTTCAACTCAGTCAAGATTTTGTCCCCCTTCTTACTACTGCTACCTTAAAATGGTGCATGACAACTTATCTAAATATGATGGGCTTGAGTTTTCACATCTTTAAAATGCAGATGATAGCACAGCCCCATGTGGGTGTTCAATAAGAGGATGCATGTAAAACATATTTCTGGGTGCTCAATAAATGGTAGCTCTTAATTGTATCAGTAAGAGAGCTTTGATTTAACATCTAGTCATTACATAGCTCTGTGTGAATTAAGCTTACAAAATGTTCACAGGTAAGTTGATAAGTTAACTGATTTTTCATTTGATATTGATAAATGTCAGCTATGGGAATACTGATACTTTATTATTTGACTTAATGTTTTCAACTCAATTTACAGGGGTCTTAGACATTTAGGAGAAATAGCCAAGCATGAGCATTAAATGAGTTCTAGATAAAAATAAAGGAGGTAGAACTTTATTATTTTACTAACTACATGTCTTGGCAGTTCTAGGTAACTGGTAAATGCTAAACTCATACCTTTCATAGGTTAATTTGAATACAAAATATTCCTTATTTCTGAATGTGCCCCCATGGACTTAGAAATATCGCCAGATATATGAATAAAAGAAGGGTTGTAATCCACTTGTTTGCTTCCAAAGAATTCAAAATTGAGTATATCCCCCCATGAACACTGTTTCACGACCCAAGAGAGTCATTGTAGAGGGGAAGAAGAAAAATTGCTCTTTTTAAGAATGAGATATCTGCTTCTGAGAAAAAAGAAAAATCCATACCTAGGTAAAGAAATCATATAGCTTCCGTTTCATCTTTTAATAAAACAAAGTTAGATTTAAAAAATCCAATCATATTTGTTATGCTAATAACATCACCTAATATTTCGATCATATAATGTTCTTATATAATGAAACAATAAAGACTAGTTTGGATATATGATAAATGCATGACTATTTCAAATAAGTTTTTCTAATAAATTAAAACCATTTTTAGACATTCCCTCATGTATACTTTTAAATTTCTGTAAAGGAGAGAGAACAGACCAGTGCTTTTAAAGAGCAGTAATCCTGGAGCTGGGAAATAGTGCAGTTGGTCTGCAGCTTGGACCTGATGACTTTGATGTCCTTTCCCTCTGGGGCACCCCCATCTCCACCTCTCCGTCCAAATGGGAGTCACCACCTGAACCCAAACTGGGGTCATGCCCTGGGCCACTCTGGGGGGACAGTCCTTCTTCTCAGTGAAGTATGTTATTTACCACTCTCCTTTATCTACATATCCTATACTTGGCCCTGAAAGAAGGTAAAAGTTACCTTCTTTTACAAGGGTGCTGCCTGAAGAAGGCAACCATATTCCTAAAATGTTGCTGGGACAATAATTTAACTTTAATCATTGAATGTATTGAGGCTTTTCAGCTTATGCTTTACTTATGCCCATGGCATCTAAAATAAGCATCTCATGGTGACTATACAATGTCACCTTACTCACCTAGCCTCCTCTCTGTCTGCAGACATTTCTTGTGGGTGGGGATGGTGAGGGGCTGTCGGAAAATGGCCTTGATGGAATGAGCTTTAACAGACATTCAGAATATGGAAAAGAATATGTCACAGAGTCCTGCAAAGCCACTGGAATACAGGGGTTCCCAAGATAATCTGCACAAAGGAGACATTATTGGAATGGGATACAGGGGTATGCCCTCAAGTAGCTTACAGTTAGTTGGAAAGATGATGGATGAATAATAACAATAAACTGGTGTCAGAGATGCATTTGGTTGTTACAGGAACCCGTGTGGGTAGCACAGCTGGGAAGGGCTTCTGGCTGAAGTGTGCCCCATAAATGAAGAAAGGATGACATTGGGCTCATCAGCTTAAGGAACACCTACCTTCAGGGATGTGGGAATAGGAACAGAAGCCCAGAGATGAAAAGGGCCTGATGCTGCTGAAAATAAGTTTAAAATAGCTTAAAACGAGAAAGCCCTCCACTATATTCATTCTGGGGGGTTGACAAAGTATAGTCTACACCCCAAAATTATCTAACTCAAAATGCTATATATATCATGTTTCTTGAAAACAATTTCAGGTTAGTAGCCACTTCTTTTTACCAAGAGCCAATTTTAACTGCAGTTAATAAATTTGTGCAGTGAAACTATAAGAAACAATTAAGGATGCATTTCAAAATCTAACTCAGTGAAGCGTAACTATTCCTAAACACAGTCACCTTCAGAATAGTTCGTATACTTGATTATGCATTTGTACAATGTTCCTTTATACAATTAACCCCAAAGAATAACCTCACGCTTTTTCTTTAGAAGAAAAAAAATTGTTCCAGGTGCATCAACAAACTCAGAATGCATGTCATATTTATATCACATATAGACACAGAAATAATTAGATACACACGCACACATTCACGTAGATATGTATATATAAGGTAGATAGAGCATGAACAATTCACAGACTTTCCTGAAGAAAATATATTTATATTTCAGTGTTACTTGGCAATAGTATTTTATTATTCATTGCCTTCACACACAGCCCTGGACTCACTCTTCCTAAGTTGTGGGGCATGTGTAAGAAAGGCAGAGGAAAGCCATGCTTTCCTCACAGCCCTGCTCCCCGCGGTTCCCCTTGGTGCCCACGGACCAGCACAGCAGAGGCCCCTCTCCCCCACGTACCTGACTGAAGCTCTGGCCGGCACCTCGGGCTTGCGTGCTGCGGGCAGGGAGCTGCGATGGGGCCGTCTCACCCAGAGCCAGGGCCTGGTTGCTATGGTAGCTGGCCGGATACTGGAAGGACCCTTCAGGTTTGGAATTGAGCTGAAGTGCAGTCTGGGAGAGCAGGCTGGGCCCTGCGTTGAAAGTCATTTAGAGCAGTAAGTGACAGCCCCAGTGAAGCAGAAATGACATGTATTATTTATTGAGAGTAGCCTAGAATTATCACACGCACATGATTCCAGCCATCTATGCTTTGAATTTTGAGAACTAAAATGGCCATATAATTCGACTCCAGGTCTTAAATGAGATTTTTTTTTTAGATGGTTTAAAAGTTCTCAGAAGAGTAGATTCTTTCAAATGATCTCATCCTGACCTACATAAAGAATTTCTGACGAGACAAATTGGTTAAATCAAATAGCTATTTTTGGATCAGACAATATAAGAAATATTTGAAATAATGTAAAATCTACCTTTTGGTACATGTTAATTGCATTAATATAATTACATCGTCTACTTATCAGGATGTTAACACAATTGAAACCTTCCAATCAGTGACAAATTCTATTGTATAAATAGTGATGTAATTGCCTCAATGCCTGAAGGGTAGATACCATTTAAAATATTAATAGCTCCTCATACAATGTAGAATTCACCCTGATCTCATGTGATCTCTGACGGTTAGTGATCTTTACCATGGCAGCAGTACACAGTAGGAGAACAAAGAGAGGATACAGTGTTAAAATTGTTGTCTCTAATGTGGCTGAAATTACAAGTAATGGAGAAATGAGAATCAGCTCCTTGCCTGATGCTTTAATTATACTTTGTATAAGAAATTGTGTTTTATTTTCTTACATTCTACTTAGATAGGATCCCTGCAAGAGTCTGCCTATTTTCTTTTTAAGAGAATTTTCTTTAATCAGACTTCATACTTATCTTGGGAATTAGAAGAATTTAGGAATGGAAGTAGACTTGCTCTTTCCCACTGCATGTGTTCGAGGGATCGGGTTTAGCAGTGTGAGCTGGAGTGGGGGGGGGGTGCTTGGCAACACGTTATCTTAATCACAGTATAAAGTCATTTCTTTTTTGATGGAAAGTAATAATATACACATGGACTATGGTGTAATTGTTATCTCATCCTTAATCTCCCTCTATGCTGTTTCAGACAATAGTTACCACTTCTAGTAAGTGTGAGCAAACGTCAACTTCCTTCTTTATTTCACAGAATAGAGCATGGCTTAATATTTCAAATGAGACCATTGATTGGCCCTGACATGGACCATTTTGTTTTTTTGCATAAAAATTTTTCCTCTCTTAAAAAACATCAGTTCACATAAACTTTCCCATTTATGACTTTCCCTTTCCCTCTAATTCTCGATGGAATGCCTAAATAATGCAAAAATACCTTTTCATTTCTGGATACCGATTAATAAGCCAATTAACTAATGCAGGTAAGACTTGGTCATTTGGAACCTACACAGTTTCTGGAAAACAGTCAAGCAAGAAAATAAAAACGTCCCATCTAGTCCCAATTTCATCATGAAGGGCATAACAAAAGTATAATGTAATCCTTTTTATTGCAATTTAGAAAACAGATTCCCAAGAAAATAGTATATCCCAGATGGTGAAGTTTGCAATGGCCTGCAAAGAATCATTTAATCCACACCAATGGTACTGTAGGCCTCAAGACCAGATGTACGGTGTCTCTATGCGGAGTGCATTTGGAATGTCATTCTGGATGCCACGATCGTACTACCCCCACTGCTGTGGAGGGAACTTCGAGGCAGAGACAGAGTCAGGGGGTGGTCTCTCACACCCAGGGGATGGCAGGCTGAGATACAGGAGAGCCTCTGGAGGAGGGTGGGGACCAGCAATCGCGGAAGAGGCAGACAGGGGACTAACTGCAAGGAGGAGGGGGAGGATATAGGCACTGGGAGCAACTGACACTCCCCCCCCCCATCTCCACCCTCTGAGAGATCATCACAGCTCAACGGAAGAAAAGCAAAGGCCCTTTAAGATTAGTAGTCACCATTCTACCTGACAATGGGCAGATTCCCACTGAGACTTCCTAGGGCTACGTCTCTCAGTTTAGCTACCCTGACATAATGGCTTGCACCAGCCACGTCCCCCTCACTTCATGATCTCCAAGGCCATGGGAGCTGAAACAGATTTAACAGTGCACAGACTTTTGGAAATGTCAATGAAATGAAATCAAATAAAATCTTTAATTTCATGTAAAGAGATTAATACACTGCAAAACAAAGGAGTTGCACATCCTGGTTATTTTCCTTTTAATGAAGCTGTGTGACTTGGCTTTGATGAACTTTCTTGCCTAGGCACTTAGCAAGTCAACAATTTTTTAAAGTTTTGAATAGTTTCATTAAATTCTCTCCCAAAACCTACAAATGCTGTCCATGCAGGATCATAAGGTGGCAAATTTAAAGTCCCCTTTCAAAGGAGTTTCAATTAAAAATATGATTTATGGGCTCCTGAAATATACATCATGAAATAATCAAATCTGCTCATCTGTTATAGACTCAGTCGTGTACTTGATCAATATTCAACAAAAACAAACCAAGATTCTCTATCTCATTACTTTGTTCACACATTTCAAGCATGAAACCTAGATGTACTCTGACAAAGGTAATTGCCACAATGAACAATATATCATAATGTTACAACATTGACATCACCTAGCAAGGACAGACCAGTCGGGACAACAGTCAAAACATGGCATGCATTTAGAATGATTTTTCCATTGCTTGCTAGGTTTTCAAATGAATGGCATTTATTCATTCCAATTTTAGATATGTGAGAATATGAAGAAGGTTAAAATTATAGGACAATTCTTAATTACTTTGTAATAGAAGTAAAATTTACATAAAACTAACTCTTGATTAGCTTTAACATTATTGTACAGTGAGGGAGAAAATATAAATTTTTCCAGAAATTTCAAAAGCATTATAGTTTCGGGCTTTAAATTATGATTGTTTCTCTGCAGGACTTTTGAGTTTCCATCAAGTCTGGCTTAGGCTAGAGGTAAAATTGGGCATGTGCACCCCAAAGGGTATGAAGTGTATCCTCTGGGGATGGGGATGATGCTAAGGGATGATGCTAGAGGATTTCTGGGGTGATGGGTGGGAAGAGGAAGAAACTGGGCCTTAAAATCTCATCTAGTGAGCTAAAATGTTCCTTCCATGCAATTAATGGCTCCAGAGGAAATCTGAACTATGCGCAACAGTGGATCATAATGTTCTTTAGGTTACAGAAAGCAGAAACCTCGTCCTGGTATGGGTACTGCCAAGATATTGACCTAAAGGGGTCACAGCGCAGTGACTTCTTTGACCATTCTAGACTTTACCCAAGGAGGAGGGACAGTCCTCAAAGCTGCACCCAGGGATCTGGGCTCAGCTCAGAAGGACTCAGCCCTGGGGGCCAGGAAGAAGAGATGGCACTGTTTTCTGATAAACTGATAAAACTCAGGAGAGTATATGTCCTTGATCTGATCAAGACACACTAGTCCCAACTGGACAGAGGGGAGCAATTCCAGGGGAACGACAGAATTGAGGGACATGAAACCTGCTATGGATGTTGGAGCCTCTTGAATATAATACCAATATCTCAATATGTTTTCAAATATGTGAATTGGCTACAGCCCACACAGCAAACTGTGAAGAAAACTGTGCTTGTATCTTTTTCGTTATTCTTAGCAGCGTTAACAGAGGCATGGAGGAGTTAAGTCCATATTACTCTTGGTAAAATGAAGGATCTTTTGTCTCCCATCTCCAAGTCCAGGAGTTATGCTTGTTTAACATTAAAATACCATTTAAATCATATGTACATATCAACATTTTAAGGTTTAAGAATTCTTCCCTAAATAGAAGTCAATTCGTGTGCAAGAGACATCTTCACTTCTCAGGTTGTGAAACACCCCCAGTGAACCTCTCCTTAGACACTCCGGGCTGTGGGTAGGGGAAGCTTGCCGCCCACCACTAGTGAGAGATCAGCCTTGGCAGGAAGAAAGGTTGAAAGGCTGATTTTCTGTGTAAAAATTCAGACTCACTTACAGTTTATATTAACGCATATCCTATACCATATAGTCCATTTCTTCTTAAATGAACTAGATATTTTAGACTTTTCATGATCATGTCCACTCACTCCATTTGCACACATTTAAAGAGGCTTCATCAGGAATTGCTAATTCTTGGTTGCTTTAGCTAAATATCAGTCCGAGAAAACAGTAAACCTTAATTAAACTACATACATTGCAATATCACAAGAAAGTCCAGAGGCTTACAATGTGGCATTCTGGAGTCATTATTTAGGTCACAATCATGCCAATACAGCATGTGTGGGAAAAAAAACCCAGACTAGCACTCAGCAGACCTAGGGTCAAGTGTGCCTCAGGTTTACAGGAGCGCAGGTGATGATGATGGGGACAATAATGCCAGCTGATCTCCGCTGAGTGATTACTAAGTTCCAGGGACTGTCCTGAGCAATGTACATCAATTAGTCCACTGAATGTTAACCAGATCCCAGTGAGGAAGATACCATCATCCCCATTTATGTTGACAGGACTGAAGTTTGCATTAATTGAGACCACACAGGATGGTAGGTGCATGCGCAAGCCAGGCAGCCTGGCCCCAGAGTCAGTGTTCTTAACCACACTTCATTATTCTGTCTCTACAAATTTTAGTATCAGCAAATATGAGCACCTAATGAAATAATGGATGTGAAAGTACTTGGAAAAAATATAAACTGCTATACCATGTTAGCTCTTAGTATCATTACCTAATTATCTAATTGCTAGCCACATGGTTTGATAAAAGAGAACCTTGATTGGGATTTGTTTGTCCTGAAAACCTTATTACAGGTGTGTCCCACATATCACTTAACATTTTCTTTCAACGTGTGAGAGCTTTCATTTTGCAAATGAGACATTCAAGGCATAGATCATTAAAACAGCCTGCTTGAAATGAAAAACAAAAGCAAACAAAACCTAGTGTCAGAGCCAAGAGATGACACAGAAAATGTTCTCTGTTACCTCAGCCTGAAACTCCTTTGTCTGTCAACCTGAAAACTCATTTTTAAACTGAAAAGTGCTGTTTAAATGTCACCTCCTCCATGCAGCCTGCCC